TGGAGCGCGGAGGGGGGGAAGGGGCCCGAATCGGTAGTGACCCCCAGCCTCCATGGCGCTCTGTTGTGCTCATACTTCTTACGGTAGGTTCGTGCGGCGTCGGCGCGCGCACAGGTTTGTAACACCGCGTCGATCGTTCAACCTTGAACCGACCGCGGCCCCGATCGTTCAAGGTTCAATTTTGGCGGGTCCAGTGGCGTTACCGTGCCACTCGATGCATCCGCGTCGCGCGTCGCAGAATTCAATTTTGAACGCCTTCGCCAGCGTTGCCGGCACGCCAACGCAGCATGAACCTGTCTTGAGGACCAAGACAAATTGTCGGGATGATTTGCCAATCAAGTAGTTCAATCGTCACCATGTTGCAAATTGTTTCACAGCAAGGTGGCAGTTCACTTGATGAGCTTGGATGCCCACATGGTGAACCTCTGCCGTGCAACGGTGTAAGCAGAGCGGCAGGAGCATTTGCGCAACGACCTCGTTGCCATCCATCTTGAATGAAGGGCAGGCTCTGTCTGGTTCACGGCTGCCCACACAAGAGTGCGCATGCGCATCGCCGTGAACCGGGAGCCACGCTGAGATCATCCACTCCCGCTTCCCCACGGGCCTGCTGTGGGCCCACTGCGGGCCAGGCTGGGCCTCGCCGTCTGCTGCAGACTGGCCCGCGCGACGCTCGTCATTGGCCTGTGGATCCTACACGCCAGGAGGCGCGGGCTGCTGTTTGCACATCCAGCCTGTCGCGTTGACCCACCCTCTTCGAGCCGCACTCCCTGCATCTTGCCTCTGTGGCTTGTGGCTGCGGGGCCACTGTTGAGTTCCCGCACCTGCACTCGCAGCGCGCCCCCGGCGGCGTGGGCGCCCTCGGGAGGATGAGGCGGATGAGGGGGAGTGCCGAGGAGGAGAGGAGGGAGCAACAGGACGACGGAGGAAGGAGGCAGGAAGAGTTGACCGGGGGAGGGGGGGGGGGAGGTGGTGGAGGAGGAGGACAAGGAAGAAAGAGGAGGAGGAGGAGGTGGAGGAGGAGGAGGAGGAGGCGGAGTGAGACGATGGGGAACTTGGGAGGTGGAGCAGTACAGCAGAAAGAGAAAGAGGAGGAGGGGAGAGGGGGAGCCTTGGCCGGCAAGGGGAAGCAGCGCAGGCGACGGAGGAGGCGTAGGCAGGGAAAGAGGACGAGGCTGAAGCATGACAAGGATGAGATGGAACCAGAGGCGGATGAGCTGTAGGAGGAGGAGTTTGGAGAATGAGGGACGATGCGGATGATGATGATGTTGAAGATGATGTTGATGATTATGATGATGTTGCTGATGATGATGAGGATGATGATGCTGATGATGCTGATGATGATGCTGGCGATGATAATGATGGTGATGATGGTGATGATGACGACGACGATTGTGATGCTGATGATGGTGATGATGATACTGGTGATCATGATGGTGTTGGTGGTAGCGATGTTGTTGTTGATGACGATGATGACGATGCTGACGATGTTGCTGATAGTGATGTTGATGTGTTTGAAGATGGTAATGATGCTGCTGATGACGATGACGATACTGATGATGTTGATGCGGATAGTGATGATGGTTGTGGTGAGGATGATGATGATGGTGACGGCATGCTGATGAATATGTTGTTGATGAAGATGAAGGCGAAGACGATGATCATCAGTTTGATGATGACATGGTCACGATGATATTTATGATGGTGATGATTAAGCTGGTGATGATGATGTTGATATTGATGCTTATGCTGGTGAGTATGCTGATGTGTCTGATGAGAATACGTAGTATTCACAAAACACCATCCTGCTGTCGTTCAGGATGATAACGCTGATGACGATGATCATGATGATGGCGAGAGGGAGGAGAAGGAGGAGCAATGCAAAACCAGGACCCATCAAAGATGTTGCACGGCACCCTTCCTCCAAGTTTCTTCTTCACAGGTCCCAGCAACAATCTATCCTCACTGCGGGAAACGCGTCCGTACGTGCCAAAACACAAATCTTGGGACGTCACCGCCTCGAATCATCGTGATTGGTATGTCCTGGCGATCCTGATTGGCGCCAGGACAGCTTTCCTGAGACTCCGACACGACGAATCGACGCGACGGTTGCGCCTTGACATCCCTGGATTGTGCTGCTTGGACGCCAACCGTAAGAATATTTTGAATGTGTTGTGCGCGCCCGCCGCCACTCTTGTAGACTTTTGTCCAGACGAGTGCGCAAGGCGAGAGCCACATCTTGAAAACGACCCGCTCTCCATCAGTGAAACTCCTCGCAAACTTTCGGGACGAATGGGATCGGAGCGAAGGCGAGAGACGCGTCTTAGAAATGGCCCAGCGTCCATCCCAGAAGCTGCTGCATTGTTTTTTAAGACGAGCGCGCGCAGCGCGCTGGCGAGAGCCACATTTTGCAAACAGCCCGCCCTCTATCCGTAAAGCTACTGTGAAGTCGGGCCTGTCCCTCTACAGGGGGAGTATCCAAAAATCAACCAACAATGATTCAGACATAAACACAACATAGTCTGGGGGCGATTTTGTGACATGCTTTAGCCTTTGGAGGTATGTTTGGATTTTTTCTTGTTTTCGTCCAAGATCGGCCTGTAGGGAGACACGCCCGACCTAAAGCTACTGCTTCTTCTCAGCTTCAGGGTCGTCAAATGGTAAGGACATGGCAAGCGCTCGGCCCGCCCTGCCGACACGTCCTGGGGTGCGACAGGGAGGAGTTCTTTGGCATGGAGGAGGAGGAGGAGGAGGAGGAGGAGGAGGAGGAGGAGGATAGGGGAACAACAAGTTGCATAAATATGAAAACTCGGAGGTCCGCGCGGATTTCTCGGATCCGCGCTGGACCCCCCTGGCGGCGCCCTCCGGCGCCGCCCCTGGCGCGCTCCGCGCGCCAGGGAGGGGGGTCCAGCGCGGATCCGAGAAATCCGCGCGGACCTCCGAGTTTTTATGTTTATGCCACTTTTGGTTCCCCTACTCTGAGATCCCGGCGAATCAATTTTTCGTGCCGGGCGTTTTCGCCTTTTTCTGGGGCCCGGGGCCCTCACAGATCGATCCGGCTCGAGAAACGACGCAGCAAGGTGTGGTGCGGGGCTCCGGGTGCGGATTTTCACGATGTTGCAATTTTTTCGCTACGTCGGATCTCAGGGGAAGACCCACGCCCGCGGCTGGAGCCGGGACCGGGGCCGCTGTCCTCAATCGGGGGCTTTGAGACGGGGGTCAATTCAAGCTGTGGCGAAGCGTCTTGGCGTGCCTATAGCCCTACCACACAATGTTCTAGGAGCCTTTTTTGTGGTTTCCACGAAGTGTTCTTGGCAGCGGAGTCTGTTTTGTTTTAGCACGTCGGGTCTGTGTTCTAAGAACATTGTTTTTGTTCTAAGACCATTTCTGGGTTGTAAGAACATTTCGTGGTAGGACTATAGGAATGCCAGGACAGTCGGTCCCTGCTCAACAACCGGGAGCCTGAGACGGGGGTCCTTGCAAACGGGGGTCAGCCAGAGCGCCCGATATCGCAGGATCCTGCAGGGGCAGGGTCGCATGGACCCAGGTCTGAGCGCAGGATCGTGCAGGATCCTTCGCACCGACCCGGGTTTGATTGCAGGATTTGCAGGATTCTGCAAGGCCTGACTGACCCGGGTCTGGATTGACCCGGGTCGGAAGATCCCCGAATGGATTGACGCGGACTCAAGAGCCGGTTGATGTCGGGCGGGTGGTCATGGTTGGTGACCCAAATGAGGGGTGAAGCAGAAGGCTCTAAAGGGGCCCTTGAGGCCCCTTTCGGGTACCTTCTGGCTCCAAAAGGGGCCCTAAAGGGCCCCTTTAGAGCCCCGTGCTTCACCCCCCCATGTGGGTCACCCCCCATTGCCACCCGCCCGATGATGCCCACCAATGCTTGAGCGCGCCAGACAGACCTTCCGCAATCGCATGCTGCTTGCCATTGTCGCCAGGCCGGGGGAGGGGCCAGATGCGAACCGGAGACCTGGGCCGGGGCCGAGGACGGGGCCGAGGCCAGGGAGATGTGGGAGGGCATCGAACATTTTATCGTGATTGGTCCTTTCTCGGGGAAGTTCTCCACCCCAGACATGTACTCTCCTGAACAAAATCAAGGCAGACTTGTTTTTCTGTGTTTGCCCTCTGGGGGCCGTTGCAGGGCCCCGCGACAAAACCGCCTCGGGAAGCGGCCCCAGCCTTGAGGAACAGGCTGGGACTTCCAGGAACCGCTTTCTTTGTGGGCAAGACTTGTGTCCACATCCCGTGCAGCTTGGAGTTCCGGGCTCCCTTCCCTCAGCTGGGGGAGGCGCACCGGATATGGATATAAATCTGGCCCCCAGAGGCTCGACTTTCAGCCACATCCTGTGCGCCTCGCCCCTGCGGCGACCTGGCCAAGAAAGTCCAAGACGCGCTGGATATGGATATGGGTATCTCTGGGTTTCTGACAATAGGCGTGGGGGGATACCCCCCGACGGGGGACAACCTCGCCTCGTCGTCGCGCCGCGACGGGGTCGGAGCGCCTTCGGCGCGCGGTGGCTGCCCGCGACGGGGGTCGATGTGGGGCTGTCGGCGGGGGTGACGCACCCCCCGACGCTTCTTAAGAAGCTCTGCGTATAAATACGGATATGGATATAAACACGTTCAAGCAAAACAGGGCATCGCAGGTTTGGGCCTCCCTCCCCTCTCAACTGGCCCCTCCTCGCCGTCTGGCTGGGCGCCTTCCGTCGCCCAGGGGAAACACCACGGCGTCGCGCGCCGAGGAGGGGGGACCCAGCGCAGGGCCGAGGAATCCGCGGGAAGCTCGGGAAGCTCACGCCGTGCGGGGAGCTCGGGAAGTGTAAATGCAGGGGCAGTGGGCGACCGACCGCCTACCCCCGCCTTGCTCCTGGCCTGCTCCTGCTGCTCCTCCCGCCTCACCACTCACCCCACTCAACGAAGCCATTTGGCTTATCCAGAAGCATTCGGCGCCTCCTTTCGGCGTCCGCGCGGCCCGCATGTTCGCCTGCTGCGCGATGCCGGAGCTGCCCCTCGGCCCGCAACCTCGCACGATGTCGGATCCGCTCCCCGAGACGGCCCACTCCCTCGGCGCGCGCTCTCGCCGCAGGCGCCTCGAGTGCACCACGGAGGAGGCGGCCTCGCCGCCGCACGAGTGGCAGCACCCGCCCTCCTTCCTGTGCCCGATCTCGCGGCAGTGCATGCACGACCCAGTGGTGTTTCGGGGCAACGATAAGGGGGGGATAGGTATAGGGGGGGATGCATCGGCCCCGAATCGGACATAGATCGCTGAGAGGGGCCCGGTAGCCCCAATCGGCCCAGAAGCGTGCGGATTCACCATCGGGGGCCTTTCGCCGATCGATCGGCGGTGTATGGCCGACTCCAGGTCGATGTTTTCCGCCCTATCCCTATCCCCCCCTATCGTTGCCCCTCAGGTGCTCTCGGACGGGCACACGTACGAGAGGCAGCACATCGAGCGCTGGCTCTCCCACAGCACCACCTCGCCCGTGACCCGGCTGGAGCTCTCCCAGACCGACATGTACCCCAACCACGCGCTGCGCAACGCCATCGACGAGTATTTCAACGAGGTCTTCTGCGTGCACCGGCAGGCCATCCGAAAGATTGTCCGCGGGCGCCGTGGCAGCGTGGACCTCGCCGCGGACGGCCCCCTCGCGCGCACGCTTGACGCACTGATGCAGAGCTCCTTGCTGGTGAACGCCGACCACAGCGTGGAGTACATTCTGCGCCAGATCATGGGCGAGGCCAAAAAGCTGGTCGGCGCGGAGGTCGCGTCCGTCTTCCTGGTGGACGCCGCTCGGCAGGAGCTCTACTCCACTGTGAACTCGACAAACGCAGAGCTGCGGATCCCCATCAACGCTGGCATTGCCGGTCTGCCCCTCTGTCTCGGCCACGCGCAGGGGGGGGGAGGGGCAGAGGGGGGAGGGCCTCCGAGAAGCAGCCTCCTTCCAAGACGCCCTCCCCCCTCCCCCTGCCCCCTTGTGCGCCCCCCCAACTGTCCGGGTCTTCCCCCCCTCTGCCGTTGTCTTCCCCCCTCCCTCTTTCGGGGGTGGACAGACCTCCTACCCTGACACGTCGATTAGTGAACTGTCCTCTTTCGGTTCTCGAGAGGGCGCCGCGGCCGTTATTTTTCAGGCTTGCGCCCGCCAGGTTTGGGCCTCAGGTCGTTTTTCGCTAAACCACGTTTTACTAAAGGGAGGTCTGTCCATAGGGGGGGATGCATCGACCCCCAATCGTCCCATGATCGCCGATGGCGTAGGGGGGGATGCATCGACCCCCAATCGTCCAATGATCGCCGACAGGGGCCCGACAGCCCCAACCTGTCCAGGAAGGGTCGGATTCACGATCGGAGGTCCCCTCGCTCTCTCTTTCTCTCTCTCTCTCTCTCTCCCTCGCGCTCCCTCGCTCCCTCGGTGTTCCCCCTGCTCCTGCCGCGCCTGCCGCACCGCGCCCGGCGCGCCCCGTGCCGACCCCCCGCCTCCGCCTGCCCCGCTCCGCCTGCCGCTCGTCGCCAGACCTGCCCTTTCGCTCCTGCTAAGTCGGGCCTGTCCCCCTACAGGGGGGTTTTCGACGAAAAAGAAAGAGTACCCCAAAATAGTCCAAACATAGTCCGAAAATAGTCTGGGGTCTATTCTTGGATGATTTTTTTGACCTTTTGGGGGCATTTTGGGGGTATTTTGCATTATTCGTTGAAAATCCCCCTCTGGGGGGACAAGCCCGACATAATCCTGCTACTCGTCGCCATACACACTCTGTCCCATACAGTTCAACCTGCGACTCGTCTCAAGGCACCGGCTTTCGGAGGTCCGCGCGGCTCTCTTGGATGGGCCCCAGACAGCGCAGACCACCCCAGAACAGGCCCAAGATGGGCCCGAGAGCGGGAGCAGGAGGCTTCCAGAGACCTCCGAGAGGCCTCTGGACCCCCCCAGAGGCCCCCGACACACACCCGATCTCCGAGAGGCCCCAAAAAGACCCCGACGAGGCTCCAAGAACAACCCAAGAGAGCTGCGAGAGCCGTCCCGAGAGAGCCCAAAGAGGGTAAAATCGTTGATTTCCAATGGTTTTTCTAATGTGTTTCGCCTTCTCACGTTTTCCCGCTTCCAACCCTCGAAGATCGAGGATTTTGAAAAAAATAGGGAATTCCCAGAATTCCTATTTGTTTTCAAAGTGGCACTCCTACCCGGAGATTCCACATTTCCCCTGACATCTGGCCGGTACCGCGCCTCCCGACTTCCCAGAGGGCCCCCAAGACGCCCAAGGACAGCCCAAGACGACCCCACGGAGCCCCCAGAGCGTAAAGAACGGCCCAACACACTCCCGCGCAGCCCGAGACACCCTTCCGACGGCTCTCCAGGCCTCCAGGATGCCTCCAGAACCCCCAGGGGGTCCGGAAGATCCCACACCCCTGATTGGCCTGGCTAACAAAACCCGGGAGGCACAAGCAAACACAGCGCCGAACACCGCCGAGGAACTGGACAAAACATCGAAATCCCTCAATTCTTTTTTGTTTCAAGTTCGGCACCCGGCCTACTCTTGCGCAACGTACCACCTACAACCCTCGACCCTCGATCTTCAACCTCCTGGTCACGTTGCCACGACGGGGGAGACGCTCAGCATCGACGACGCGTACGCGGACGCCCGCTTCAACCAGGCGGTGGACAGGACGTTTGTGTACGTAATCGCTCATGCTCATGCCTGAGCCTCCTTCATGTTTCCCTCTCTTCCATTCTCCTTCGTGCCATGTTTGACAACGTTTGGGCTCCCAGGGGACCTCCCCCCCAGGCACATCTGCCCCCCCAGAAACCTCCGCAGGGACCTCGGACATCGGGGACCTTTGGAGACATCCCTCCTCCCTCCTCCCTTTGGCCACCGGGACCGTGCAACGCAACGGGACCCTGACGCCGAACGACGCATCCTTTGCCCCTCCCTCCTCTGCGCCCCTCGGCGGCGAGCCCAGAGGGGGAAGCGATTCGGGGCAGGCCTCCTCAGAACGCGGCGGGGCTCCTGCGAAGCCCTGTGGCCTCCTGTGAAGCCGCCTCTGTCCTCGAACAGCATAAGCTCAGAGATGTTCTCAGAACCATTGGCCTCCCGAGCCTTCTGATGAGGCCCGCCCCCTGAAGTTCTCCCCCCAGCCCTGCCGCCGAGCCCCAGGATGACGGGCCTCAGGACGCAGAGCGTTCTGTGCGCCCCGCTGCGGGCGTGGAAGGGCGACGTCATCGGCGTGGTGCAGCTCATCAACAAGACCGGAGATGGCGTGCTCGTCAGCGACGGCTCTCCCAGCGACCCCGCGGGCAGGGGCCGCCGGTTCACGGAGGAGGACTCGCTTTTCCTGCAGGTGGCCGCCTCGCGCTCGCCGCGTCCCCCCATCCGCTCCTCCCCAGAGCTCCCGCGTGCTGAAAAAGTCAGGATAGGCACCTCTCCTCCTCCTCCTCCTCCTCCTCCTCCTCCTCCTCCTCCTCCTCCTCCTCCTCCTCCTCCTCCTCCTCCTCCGCCTCCGCCTCCGCCTCCGCCTCCTTCTCCTCCTCCTTCTCCTCCTCCTCCTCCTCCTCTAGAGCCCGAAAACGGCGATGCCTCGCCGTTTTCGGGCTCTAGAGGCACTCGCTGGGCCCTGGGCTTGTGAAAAGAAGCGGTGCAGTGTGAGGAGCCGGTCCTGGGGATGGGGACCTCCGGGGACTCGTTGTGTCAGGAGGAAGAAAAACACACAGACACAATGAATCGTCGAGTCCCAGGAACATCTAGGAAAACATGGGAAGTGTGGGGGAAGACAGAACCCAGGAAACATAGGAAAATAAGGGGATATTTTTATTTGTGTGGATTTCTTTGTGTGTCCCAGGGCCCCTTCATTGTGGAAGAAATGTGACTCCTGGACCCACCAGCGTCCGGGACATCCTCGGAAAACCGCACGGGTCCCCAAACCGGGTGGTGACACCAAATCGCCCGAGACTCACCGCCAGGTGTTGTCACCACCACGTTTGGGGACTACCAATTCTCACATCAGATCTCTGTGTCCCTCGAGTGCTTCATTGTGGAAGAAATGTGGCATCAGATCTCGAGGTCCCTCGGGTCCCGCTTCGGGCTTCGAGCCGCAGACCCCAGGCGCTCCAAAGAGAGCTCTGGCCCTCGGGCCCCTACCACCCAGAAGCGTAGGGTTAAGTCGGGCCTGTCCCCCTACAGGGGGGATTCTCGACGAAAAATAAAAGATACCCAACAAATATTCCAAAAAGGTAAAACAATACTCCAAACATAGTCCCCATACTATTTTGGTATTATTTTTGGCTATTTGTGGGGTATCTTTTATGGTTCGTCGAAAATCCCCCTGTAGGGGGACAGGCCCGACTTAAGCGTAGGGGGTGGGGGGGAGGTCGGGTTTCCAGAAAGGGGGGTTCAACGCCAGCGGAAGTCAGCCAGAGCGCCGCATCTTTCAGGATCCTGCAGGGCCAGGATCGCAATGACCCAGGTGTGGGTGCAGGATCTCGCAGGATTCTGCAGGATCTTGCAGGATCTTGCAATGCCTGACTGGCCCCGGTGTGCATAGACCCGGGTGAATATCAGGAGGGAAAAAACCAAACACAGACACAATTGATCGTCGATCCCCGGGAACATTTGGGAAAATATTGGAAGCGGGGGGGAAGGCAGAGACCCCGAACTAATTGGGAAAATGGGGGGACTCCTGGGATCTGTGTGCATGTCTTTGTGATCTGATGGGCGCCATGAGGTGGAGAGAGAGAGAGAGAGAGAGAGAAAAAAAACAAAAAAAAGGACAGGAGGAGCGACAGGACGGCGGCCACGGCGCTCCCCGGAGGGAAGGGGGGGAGGGAGGTGCGGAGGGGGGCTGGGTTCCGCGGAGGATGGCGGGCGCGAAAGACCGCCCCCTGGGCTCGCCCTCGCGCTTCGCCGCCGCCTCCCTGGTGGACCCCATAGGGGGTCCAGCGAGATGAGGACGGTGCTGCCCAACCTCCTCCTCCTCCTCCTCCTCCTCCTCCTCCTCCTCCTCCTCCTCCTCCTCCTCCTCCTCCTCCTCTCCTCCCTCCTCCTCCTCCTCCTCCTCCTCCTCCTCCTCCTCCTCCTCCTCCTCCTCCTCCTCCTCCTCCTCCTCCAGGCGAGACCCCATAGGGGGTCCAGGGGGTACAGTGCGGGCGCGCATCAAGAAACCGCATGCTCTTCGTCAGGGCATCCTGGGTTTCTTCGCTCCCCGCGCTGCGCGGCTACTCCCCGTGGCCGTTGAAGGAGCTGTTGCGTTCAGGGTGCTCTGGACCCCCCCCCCCACTTGCACCTCGCGCCTGCGGGTTTCCGGGCTGGGTTTCTTGCGAGGGTTTCTCGCGGCCGCGCCCGTACTGTATTGGTGGGCTTGCAGCAGGTTTGGGGCGTGCAGTGATCCCATTCTGGTGCGCAAGCGTGTGTTCTGGATCTTTTCGCGTGCGGTGCGAGTTGCACCAGGATGCTTCTACAATCTTCTGGCGCGGTACATTTGCCACAGAATTGCCCCAAGTCTATTGCATGAACCCCCTTCTCAGCTGGACCCCTTCAATGGGTCAACCAAATCCTCCCTCTCTCCCCTTCCTCTCACTCCTAGAGCCTAGAGCCTTTTGTGTGAAGCCAGGCCTCTGCCATATTCGGGGAGGCACTCCAAGGTCTCAAAGAAGAGCCCCGCGGTTGGGTGCCCCAAGCTTTCGTTGAAAGGGTTGTCCAAGGAGGCTCCCTAAGCCAAGCGCTCCAGTCGCCACAGGTGAAGTCGAATCCTAAAAAGTAATGGTAAAAAAACAGAAGTCGAACCCTTCCGAAGCCGAGCGATGGTCCTCCTCTACTCCCTCCCCCTCCTCCAGGTGTTCGCGTCGCACGCGGCCACCGCGGTGGCCAACGACATCTCGAGCGAACTGGGCCAACCACCAAGGCAGCCGGCGACGCAGCCGGAAGAGACGCTGCCGACGCCGAAGCCAGGGGCGGTCCTGCTGGCGGCAGAGCCGGCACCAGCGACGACGGCTCGGCAGCCCGGCGAGGAGGCCACTGCGCTGCTCGAGCAAGCGCTGGACGGCTGGGACCTGGACGTGGTGCAGCTGGCGGCGCTGACTGGTAACCGGCCGCTGAGCTCTCTGGGCTGCTTCCTGTTCGAGCGGCTCGGGCTGGTGGCGCGGTTCGGCCTGGACGGCGAGAAGCTCCATGCCTTCTTCTTGGAGCTCGAGCGCGGCTACGACGACGCCGTGCAGTACCACAATCGCCTCCACGTGGCCTCCGTGCTGCACCTGACCCACGCGGCATTGCGCGGCGGGGCCCTCGCGCAGAAGGCCGCGGCAGCGCTCCGCGGCGGCGGGGTCGAGGCGGACGGGGCGCTGGAGACGATGGCCTGCCTGCTGGCGGCCGCCGCCCACGACTTTGAGCATCCTGGGCGCACGAACGACTTCCTGGTCAAGACCGGCCACGAGCGGGCCGTGTGTTACAACGACAGGCACGTGAACGAGAACCACCACGCTGCCCGGTCCTTCGCGCTGCTGCAGCGCCCCGGCCTGGACTTCCTGGCCGCGCTGCCGCGGGAGGACTTCCGCCGCCTCCGGGGGCTCTTCGTGGAGCTCATCCTCGCCACCGACATGGCGTCCAGCAAGAGCATCATGGAGTCGTTCACCGCCGCGCTGGACGGGTCCGCCGCAGCACCTCTGACGCCGTCGTCGTCCGCATTGTTGGGATCGCCGGCGGCCCCCGAGGACGGCGGCTTCCTGCCGGGCTCGGCCGCGGAGGCCCTCCTGCTGCTGCAGGTGGCGCTCAAGTGCGCAGACCTCGGCCACCTCACCCTCAGCCGCGCCTCGCACCTGCACTTCGTGCGCGGCCTGGAGGAGGAGCTCTTCGCGCAGGGCGACCAGGAGAAGGCCCTGGGCCTGGAGGTGTCGTCCCTCATGGACCGGGAGAAGCCGGGCGTCGCCTCCTCCCAGGTCGGCTTCTTCGAATTCGTCGCCCTGCCCATGTTCCGGTGCCTCGCGAGGGCGTGCCAGGGTTTGCGGCCGATGCTCCAGGGCGCCGAGGACAACTACCGCTACTGGAAGGGCCTTCAGGGCCCCGCGGGCGGGTGCCCAGCCGCTTCGGCCGAGGGCGGCCAGAGCGACGGCCAGGCGGCCTCGGCCGACGCTGGCCGGGGGGGCGGCTCGCGGTTCGCTTCCGCGCGCAGGCAGGCCATCGTCAGGGGCAGCGTGAGGGCGGGATTGGCTCAGGGGGCCCTGCATCGACCCCTCGGAGGGCACCAACTATACACCAACACCGATCCTGGCCCAGGATCACCCTGGGCCCAGGATCGGTGTATATGCCTTCTTGCGCAAGGCAGGAGGGCGTATACACCGATCCTGGGCCCAGGGTGATCCTGGGCCAGGATCGGTGTTGGTGTATAGTTGGTGCCTTCCTAACCCCCCATCGATTCCAGCTCGCATCCCCGAGCCAGCTCCGCCCCATCGTTCCCCCTCCCCTCTCGGGCCGAACGAAAGGGGGGGGGATAATTAGGGAAAGGGGGGGGGGTCGAAATCTGCTGCATGCGGCTGGTGTCGGCCCCGCCGCGGCGGTGGGAAGGCGCAGCGGCCCGGCGCGGGTATATCGAGGAACTGGCCCGGCGGCGGGAGGCGCTCATGTATACATGGGCGCCTCCCGGCGCCGGGAGGCGCGGGGACAATCAGCTACGTGAGCTGTCGGGAGCCTTGAGACAGAGGTCAATGCAAACGGGGGTCAGCCAGGACACCGGATCCTGCAAGATCCTGCGAAGACCCCCTCTGGCTGACCCGGGTTAGCGAGCCGCTCGTGGCCGCGAGGCGGCCACCAAAGACCTGCGATTTCAGTTTTTTCCTGCACTGCAGTGCTTTGGTTTCCTGCTGTCCCGGGTCTGGATCGACCCGGGTCAGAAGATCCCCGAAGCTGATTCTCGAGCCTCCCCTTTGCTATCCCCCCCTTTCGCCCGGCCCGACCATCGTCTCCAGCGCGGCCGACAGGCCCATGCGGCGCAGGCGCGCGGTGCGCTTCCGCACGCCGAGCCCGCACCGCTTGCTCCCGACGCCGTGCCGGGCCCTGGCTTGCGCATGACGCAGGGTTCAGGAGCTCTTTGAAGGAGGAGGAGGAGTCAGGAGGAGGAGGAGGAGGAGGAGGAGGAGGAGGAGGAGGAGGAGGAGGAGGAGGAGGGGGAGGGGGAGGGAGAGGAGGAGGACCAGGAGGAAAAGGAAAAGGAGGAGGAGGAGGAGATGGGAGGAGGAGGAGAGGGAGGAGGAGGACCAGGAGGAGGAGGAGGGGGAGGGGGTGAAGGAGGAGGAGGAGGATCTTCTGTTGAGGAGGATAGGCGAGGGGAGCAGCGCGGGGACATTGACCAAGATGTCGCAGGATTCTGTCGAGGTCGATCTTGGTCATGGTCCATGTCGGCCGTCGCAGACTCCCGGGGATCATCCACGAATTTTGACGCTGACCAAGTAAGATCGACGGTGACCAAACTCGGCACCACGTTTCCACGTTCGGTCTTCGGCATGGTCCCCGCTTTCTCCCCCCTCCAGCTGATCTATCGGCCGCCAAGGTGGGGTCCGTATAGACGGGATCGGAGGATCTGCGGCTCGGTGTGGAGCTGGAGACTCTCCACGCAAATTGCGCCGGTGGATCGCATCGCCGATGCATCGCCAGTGCATCGCCGATGCGTGGGCGATGCATCGCCGAACGGCGCGATCCTCCGACCCCGTCAACTCCGACCCCACCCTGGAGACCTCTATAGAATATAGTCTTCGGCCGATGTCGGGGGTTCGTAGAGGGAGGGCTGTCCCAATGTGGGGTTGGGGAACGAACCCAGCTGGATGCTCACATTTCCTTCTTCTCCCGGATCCCAGACTACTTTAGCCGCCTTCCTACTTCAAGAGTCGAGCGGTTTCCCCCAGTGTCTCCTCTTCAGGGGGCGTGGATCCAGGAGACCCGCGCGGACCTGAAATCGGCGGCGAGCGAGGGGAGGCAGCGAGAAGGAGATGGCCTTCTCGGAAGGCGGCTGGGCTTCTCAGAAGCGCTCCGGCATTTTTGGACGGTGTCTGTGTCTCCGGGGAAAGCTTCGAAAATTTCTGAGAAGGCTGGGGGGGTTCGGAGTCTTCTGAGAAGGCCCGCCCCGTCTCACTTCCCCCCACCAGGCTCGGCGCCGATGAAAGTTTACGCTTATGCGATTGTTCCTGATACCATTCGAGGCGAGGAAAACCAGGATGCGTGGGCGGCACGAGGTCGCCAGAGGCACGTGCGTCGACGTCGGGCGGAGCATTGCTGGCAGTCTGGGGGGGCGTGGGGGGTTGGTAGGGCAACGCCGTGACAACGACGACGACGACGACGACGACGACGAGCGAGGAGTAAAAGTTCAATAAGGGGGGGTGTAACACAACGCCTCTGTGAGGACGACGACGGCGACTGACGACAACCGACGACGACAACAGCGGCGGAGGACGAAGATAATGTCCAGGGGAAGAATGGCATTTTTTGGCCACAGGAGCGTTGCTCCCCCCCCGGGGAGAGGAAACCGGGGGAAGCCCTTTATCTTCACATAACCTCCATTCGGCTCGGCCACGGGGACCTCCCCGTGCTTGTTTTTTTACCTCCTGGCGATAACGAGCGTGACCTGAGTAGGGGGAGGCGGGGCGAGGACCAGTCGCGTCACGATTCTCGCCGGTGCAGTTTGGGAATGCCTATGACTTGCTCATTAGAAGACGGCGCTGGCGCGGATTGTAACGTTACCAAAGGGGCTGAGCAGGGAGGGTGGGGTGCGATCACGGGCGTCATCGCGAATTATATCAATAATGAGAATATAGAAGAATGAGCGTTTCAAAATTATTCGTAACATTCACAGCCAGTCCTGATACTCATACGATGTATCATCATAATGCTCATAACGGTACTTCTGCTGATATCTAAAGCAAAAGCAATACTACGAATGATGATATTACAAGAATCATTGGCAATCATGGTAATAATGATTGCAATGCGAATATGAATCATGAATAACAGTAATGATTCCAGTACCCTAACCAAAATATCGTTACGAATGATGATATCTACATCTCTAGATAAAATTACGAACAGTCGCAATAATAGAAATCACAACCATCATATACAATAGAAATCACAACCACCAACCGTAAACATATTAATGACATGAATGATCCTCCAAGTGACACTAATCATAATGATTGTTGATTCGGCGTGGGCCTCGGGATGGCGTCGCAATGGAGGAGTGCAGGCCCTGGGCCCTCTTCGGGGCTCCCGGCGGAGGCCCTCCCCGGCCCCTCCGTGCTGCCCAAGAGCGGCCCCTGCGGGCCCCCAGGCGGTGCCGTGGCCACCACACCGTTCCCAGACCCCCTCGAGCCATGAAGAAATCACGACGGGGGGGGGTTCGCTATGTTCGGCCTCCTGGGGCCCCCTATCGGGCCTCGGGGCCGTCAGAGCACGGCTCGGGAGGACAATGGGCAGCTGGTCCCGGGGAAGGGGTCCAGACCTTTGGGGGTCGACGACGTGAAGCAAATCACGACGCAGGGGGTCTGGGTTTGGTGAGTCAGCCCAGTAGGTCCCCCCTCGCCGGGCCCCAGGACTGGCGAAGAGCGTCTCGGGATGCAAACCCGGCCCCAGGGAAAGCGCCAGGACTTCAGGGGACCGCGCATCGGAAAACACAGCACATCGCATGTCTGGAGAGGTCCCGACGCCAGTACCCGTCCCCCGTCGCCACAGCTGGATTCGCCTCGACAGTCTTCACGAGAGCAGCCGGTCAGGAGAAGAGAGAGGTGGGAAGCAGGGGGGCGTCAGTAATGAGGATGCGGAGGAGGTTCCGCCGGAGGAGGAAGGGTGAGGTAGGGAGGAAGAGGAGCAGGAGGACGAGGAGTAGGAGGAGGAGGAGGAGGAGGAGCAGGAGGAGGAGGAAGAGGAGGAGGACGGGGATGGGTACAGATGGCTGGAGGGATGAGGGGTGTGGGAGGAAGCGGGAAAGGTGATGAGGGCGGCGGGTATAGGAGCAGCAGCAGGACCAGGACGACAGGGAACATGGGGAGGGGGGCATCCAGTGAGGTTGAGCAGGAGGAGGGAGAAGCAGGAGGAGCAACAGCTACAGGCCAGATTTGCCAGATAGGTTCACGACTCATGTCAGCCGCGGTCACAACCTCGCGTCCGTTACGGTTCGCGGTTGCGGACTCGCGGCGCATGGGCAACATGTTCCATTGTAAGTTGCCATTTTTCGTTGGTTGTGAGAGCCATGTTCGGGATAGACTAGGATAATCGAAGACGTCTACTGCGAACCACCGCCGCCCTCCACCTTGTGTATATGGCCAAAAGTTGAGCGAAAGTCTGAACAAGCTATTGGACTGTGTGTTCCCCATGATGGGCCATTTTCCCGCCACCACTATCATAGGTAGGACGAGGAGAAGGGTGGATGGGGAGGTCCTCCTGCTTTTCCTCCTTCTCCTCCTACTTCTCCTTTTCCTCCTCCTCCTCCTCCTCCTCCTCATCCTCCTCCTCCCGCTCCTACCTGGCCACTGTCGAAACCCTTGGGGGAATCTGCCCATTACCCCAAGCCACAGCGGAAACTCTTGGGGAAACACCTGCGCGCCTTCGGGGCCTCCTAGAGCCTCTCGGGGGGAGTCGCTGGGGAGCCTCCAGGGAGCAAACTCTGGATGGGGCAATACTCGCCCCCTCCTTGGATCCGCTGCGGGGGTTGGGCACGTGCTCTCGGAACGGGTGGAGGGGGGGGTGGAGGAGGAGGATGACGAGAAGGAGGAGGGGGAGGAGGAGGAGGAGAGGAGGGAGGAGGAGGAGGGGAAGAGGGGGGGGGGTGATGGGCAAGCTCCGTCGGAAGGTTAGTCGCCCACCTCTCGATTGAGGAGGAGGAGGAGGAGGAGGAGGAGGAGTTGGAGGAGGAGGAGGAGGAGGAGGAGAAAAGAAGGAGGAAGGAGGAGGAGGAGGAGGGGGGGAGGAGGAGGAGGAGGAGGAGGGAGGAGGGAGGAGGAGGGAGGAAGAGGAGGAGGAGGAGGGAGGAGGGAGGAGGGACGAGGGAGGAGAGAGGATGAGGGAGGGGAGGAGGAGGGCGGAGGGAAGAGGGACGAGGGAGGAGGGAGGCGTGTTTGCCCTCCGCGGGCGCCGGGAGGGGCACCTGCTGGGGCCGCCTCGCGGGGGCCCTCCTGGGGGCCGTGCCGCGGGGCCCTCGCGCAGGGGGGCTTTCTGGGACAGTCTTGGCGCTGGGCCTGCAGGCCTCTTGGAGGCACTTGTCTCGGCGGCGGGCGGAGGAGGAGGAGGACGAGGAGGAGGAGGACGAGGAGGAGGAGGAGGACGAGGAGGAGGAGGAGGCCGACGAGGAGGAGGACGAGGAGGAGCAGGACGAGGAGGAGCAGGAGGACGAGGAGGAGGACGAGGAGGAGGAGGAGGGGGGGAAGTGAGAAGGAGGTCGAGGAGGACGAGGAGATCGACGAGGAGGAGGACGAGGAGGAGGACGAGGAGGAGGACGAGGAGGAGGGCGAGGAGGAGGAGGAGGAGGAGGAGGAGGAGGAGGAGGAGGTCGGGGGCCTCTGAGATCCAGCGCTTCTGGAGGCTGTGCCAGGCGCCGCGGCCGCAGGGCAGACACCACAGGGCACCAACGCGTTATAACCGCCCAACCACTCAGGGCACCGAGCGCGGAGCGGCCCTCCTCTGCGTAAAGCTGTTCATATTGGGCCTTCTGAATGGTGCCATCCTTCGCCCTTTGGCGGCGAGCGTGGGGGGGATGTGAGAAGGAGAAAGCCTTCTCAGAAGGCGACGGGACTTCTCAGAAGCCCTCGCTCCTCCGGTCTTCGGGGAAGGCTTAGAAAACTTAGCGGAAGGCCGGGGGACTTCCGAACCTTCTGAGAAGGTGTTCTCCTTCTCACTTCCCCCCTCGCTCGCCGCCGATTGTCGGCCGTAGGGTGACGGGGAGGAGGCGAGAACGCGAACACTACTGAACAGCCCGCTGGGAATCAGTGACGCAGGCATCCTCGAGGTCCTCTTGGAGCCATCTTGGGCCGCACCAGCTTGCTGTCGGTGTTGCTGCTGCTGATGATGGTGTTGTTGCTGCTGCTGTTGTTGTTGCGGTT